ATGTTCCTGGTCATTGTGGACGCCCAGTCAAAGTGGTTGGACGTGAATAAAGTTTATTCAGCAAACTCTGAGATGACAATTGAGAAGTTGCAGGCATCATTCGCAACACACGGACTCCCAGAAGTAATGGTCACGGACAATGGAATGTCATTTACTGGCAGGGAATTCGAATACTTCCTAAAATCCAATGGCATTTGGCACATAAGGACAGATCCGTACCACCCCTCGTCTAATGGCCTAGTGGAAAGAGCAGTCCGAACGTTGAAGGTTGGATGAAAGTAGCAGCCTACAGTGTTATTTAAGACCAAACTGTCTTGGTTCCTGTTCAATTCTAGGGCAACCCCACATGCAACAACAGGGATAGCTCCAGCAGATTTGCTAATGGGGAGCAGACACCGCACCAAGTTAAATCTGATCTTCCCAGACCTGGGAGGATGGTGAAACGGCAGCAGGAATACCAATGCTGGCCAAAGGTCTCCTCTAAGCGATGGAGACAATTTAATTCAGGGGGTGAAGTTTGGTGCCGGAACCATGGAAATGGCCCTGTATGGCTACGAGGTAAGGTTGACGCAAGGTCAGGTCCCGTGACTTACAAAGTCTGGATAGGTGATACAGTACAGAACAAATATGTGGATCACCTGAAAGCCATTACCTCACAAACGGGGCAAGGGCAAAACATACCTTGCCCCTCAGTACAGTCCAAAGGCCTGGCTAAATCACAGATGCTCTCCCTCCATCTGGTGTTGAGGAAACCTCAGAGTCCAAAATGGACGCAGCCTCAATACCACTGCCTCTGGAAGAAGAGTAGGAGACTCTTTTAAGATGCTCCAGACACAAGGGTGGCATGGTGGCTCAGTGGTTAGCACTGCTGCCTCACAGCACCAGGAGCCTGGTTCGATTCCACCGCCAGGTGACTGTCTGTGTGGAGATTGCACATTCTCCCTGTGTCTGTGTGGGTTTCCTCTGGGTGCTCCAGTTTCCTCCCACAGTCCAAAGATGTGCAGGCTAGGTGGATTGGCCATGTTAAATTGCCCATAGTGTCCATGGATGTGTAGATTAGGTGGGCTATAGGGGGATGGGTCTGGGTGGGATTCTGCAAGAGTAGGTGTGGACCTGTTGGGCCAAAGGGCCTGTTTCCACACTGTAGGGATTCTAAGTCTAAGTCACAAGAGTCGGGCCACAGTCCAGTACATGCCACCTCTGTCTGAGTCCTAGTTGGAGGAATCAGACCTGGGGTGAAAATGTCACAAAAGAAGCTACAAGCGAAAGACCTGGACTTCGTAGGGGGGGAAGGGCGTAGTGATTGGAACCAGGTGGACCTCACTGACTACGAGGCCATTGATTGGGATTGTTAACTTGGGCCAATCGGGAAAGCCCTGGCTGACCAATATAACCAGGAGACTAGAATCTCCTCAGTTGAGAATTGAGTCCAAGCTGGCTGCCCATAGCCAGTGTACTGTGCACAAGTAAATGAAGGGTGACTTGGTGACAGGACCTGGCCTCTGTGCAGTTATTTCACACAGCCAATTTGGGTACAGCAAAGTCCCACGTACAGCAGCAGATAATCTGTTTTAGTGATGATTGTTGAGAGATAAATGTTGACCAGGATGCTGGAGAGAACATCCTTGCTTTTCTTCAGAATAGTGCAGTGTGATCTTTTATGTTCACCAGAGAGGGTTCAACATTTCATTCTGCAAACCCCTCTCTGAGCCACACACTATCCTGACTTGGAACTATAGAAAATGATAACATAAGAAATCAGAAAAGACCACATGGCCCATCACCAATATTCCATCATTCAGTACAATTGTGGCTGATTATGGGCTTCAAGTTTGCTTTTTCACCTACTCCCCATATCGCCTGATTCCATATCTGTCCCAGCCTTAACTAAATTCCAACGGAGCATCAGTATCTTCCTGGGGTACCAAATTCCCAAGATTCAAAACCTGTGTGGTGAAGAAATTTCTCCTCATCATGATCCTAAATGACTTTCCTTTATCTTGACACTATGCCTCTTTGTTCTAGGTTCCATAGCCAGGGATGGGGGATATACCTTGGGGGATATATCTTAGAGTCTATTGGTCAAGCCCCTTGAGATTCTTGAATGCCTTCATGAGATTACCTTCCATCCTTCTAAACTCTAGAGAATATATATCCATTTTACTCAGCCTCTCATCAAACAAAATGCCCCTTTCATAAAGCAATGTTGACCAGTTTGAATTATTCTCTGCTTTTCTAAGTGCATTGATAAGATTTTCTTAATCGTGGATTTCCCAATGACTGATGCCAGCCTAATTAGCCTGTTGTCCCTGCGTTCTTTTTCCCTAACACGTAAGAAGAAAAGCATTTTGGGTGCGGGGACCTACAACTGTGCCAGCAGCTCAGAACTGAGTGCTGGCAAGAGCAGGGTGACCACTCTCAGCCACTACGTCAAATGTGAATCACTTACAAATGTTCTCTGCATGTGACCTATGGGTCTCACCTGTAGAGGAAGCCCCTGTTGAAGCCAAGGGCTGCGAGTTCATGTGAGGCTGCATGTGTTGAGGAGTATATGTGTCGTAGTTCCGCACGCTGACAGCTGGGCTGGCTGGAATCATGCAAGAATACGATGACGTTTGACCTGGAACTGGCTGTACAGATTGCTGAAAAGGCAGAACATAGCAAACTTTATTACTTGGAATTAACCAATGACAGCATGTAATTACAAAAGTGTTACAGTGTGGAAGGGGGCTCATGTGGCTGTGTGCACTCTCCAACCAAACAATTCCCCTCACGCTATTCCCCTGAGCAGTCTTCCTTTTCAGATAATTATCTAATTCCCTCTTGACTGCCTCAATTGAAGCTGCCTTCATCACGCTCTCAGGAAGCACGTTGCAGATCCTAACATTCATTGCATGAAAAGGTTTCCCCTCGTGTCCCCATTGCTGCTTTTGCCAATTATCTTAAATCTGTACTTGCTGGTTCTTGATCTGACAACCAGTGAAAATGTTTCCCCCATCTGTACTGTGTAGATCCTTCATGATTTTGAACAGCTCTGTCAAATCTCTTCTCAAACATCTCTCCACCAAGGAGAACAGTCTCAACTTCCCCAGCTTCTCCACATAACTGAAGTTTCTCACCCTGAAACCTCTCCCATGAATCTTTTCTGCATCCTGTCTAATGCCTTCACATCTTTTCTAAGGCATGGTGCCCAGAATTGGACACAATATTCTGGGTGAGGCCAAAGCAGTGTTCTAAACACATTTGGCATAACCGTTTACTCTTTGTGCTTTATCAATTGCTCCTGCCGCCTTCAATGACTTATGGACATATAGACTAAGGACCCTCTGCTCCTGCACCCTTTTTAGAATGGTAACTTTATTTCATATTGTCCCTCTACCAAAACGAATCACTTCATACCTCTGTGTAATGATCTGAGATAGTAAAATATCCCAAGTCACTACACACGAGTGTTGTGAAACAAAAATTGACACCAAGCCACATAAAGAGATATTAGATATTAAGGAGATGACCAAATTGTTGTCCGAAGACATCGGTGTTAAAGAGCACTGAAAAAGTAAAGAGGCAGAAAGGTCAAGGGAAGGAACTCCAGAACTTAAAACTTTGTCGCTGAGGGTGTGGCCACCAATGGTGGACTCATCAGGTTTGGAGGAGCAGAGATATTTTGGAGCTTGTTGGGTTACCAACAGGAAGGATCTCACCTTTGGAGAAATCAACTCCCACGGACCCAAAATAAACTGCTGCACAGAATAGTTGAAATAAATAGCACATGGACCTTTGTGGGAAGCTACATGTATTCACGAGGGTGAAAGGAGTAGAAGGATAGAGTTAGATGAAGTAGGATAGCTGGAGGTTCACATGGAAAACTAAAACCATCTGAGACCTGAAACTCCCAGTCCTGTGGTTTGATTTTCTGGCCCCCACCACTGCCATCACCACAAACCCCACCCCCCAACACCCCACAGCACCCCCGCCTCCCGAAATCAAATCTGTAATTTGTGATTTGCAGAAAATCTGTGAGACAGCTGATTTCGTTTTAAGATGAGAAATAAAAGTGCCAGGTCAAAGTACTAATGCAACAGGATAGCACGGCTGAAAAGTATAAAAGATCACATGAGGTGGGCTAGGAAATATAAAGTGTAAAAAATAAAGTTTGAAAAGCCTCCTAGTAATGAAAATTTCAAGAGAATGATTATAGAAAGTGAAAGTGAGAAAGGGGGAAAGTGAAAGAACAGGAAATAGTTTGTGAAATTTATTTACTTTATGTAAGAATGTGACAGGAGTAGCTGAAAGAGAGAGAGGAAAATTGAATATTTCATAAGAGTGGAAGCTCCTTCATGCATGTAATAATCTCTCTGTATATGGCTGGCTTTGACTCCTGTCTGTCACCACCACCTAATCTTCCAACATAACATCAGAAAGTCATCAGATTTCCCTAGAGAAAGCAAGCAAATGATTATTCTCACTTATCTACATTGTTTCTCCTGGAGAGATGGTGTTTTGCAGTTCATTTAGGGGATCTGGGTTTTCCATGTTTGTTGTAGCCTGGGGCTATGGATAGTTAAGGTGGAGGCTCGAACATTCCTTCTAACACATGGCTGACAAGGAATCTCTCCTTACCATCTGCCATTGCGTGAGTCAGGTGGATTTATAAGTTGATACCCAAGGTCTATGGCCATGTGATGAATTCACCTTCCTTGGCCATCAAGTCTAGAATGGGACCCAAAACCGAAGCCTCTGGTCCAGAGACAGGAACGTTACCCACTGCACCACAAGACCTCCAGGAGTTGTGTAAAATTACAACAGGAGATGCAAGGATTCCCCAAGAAAGAGAAGAACAAAATGGTCCTCAAATAACATGGTCATGTCCTGATGAATAGAAATGATACAATGTCTTTATTATTACACAGGACACAGTGAAATCCTGATCAACATATAGGGCTCGATGTCTTCCAATTATAAAAAGCAGCAATGTCCTCAAAAATTTCCAAATCATTTCAGTTAGCCATAGTTGCGTTTCAAGTCAGTAGATAGTAACAGGAAAATACAGGAGCCTATTTTATAGAATCATCGAGTCATGGAGCCATACAGCATGGAAACAGACCCTTTGGTCCAACTCATCCATGTTTCCCGCACTGAACTAGTCCCACTTGCCTGCATTTGCCCCATATCACTGTAAACTTTTCCTATTTATGTACCTGTCCAAATGTCTTTTAAATGTTGTAACTGTACCTGCATCTACCACTTCCTTTGACAGTTCATTCCACAACAAACCACCCTCTGTATGAAAATGTTGCCCCTCAGGTCCCTTTTAAATCCTCCTCCACTCACCTTAAATATACACCCCCCAGCTTTGAACTCCCTTACCTTGAGGAAAAGACCTTTGCTATTCACCTTATCTATGCATCTCATGATCTTATAAACCTCTATAAGGTCACCCCTCAACCTCCTATCCTCCAGTGAGAAAAGTCCTAGCCTTTCCAGCCTCTCCCTATATCTCCACTCCCAGTAATATCCTTGTAAATCTTTTCTGCATCGTCTCTAATTTCCTTCCTATAGCAATGTGACCAGAACGGGACACAGTACTCCAAACGTTTTATGCTTTCTGTCTCTTACCATCCGAATAAAGGAATTACATTCACTATCTTCCAAGTTAATGGAGCCATTCCTGAATCGAGTGGTTTGTAAAATTGGAACCAATGCATCAACTACCTCACTCACCACTTCTTTTAAAACCCTAAGATGAAGTTCATCAGGATCCAGGCATGTGCCAGCCCACAGCTTCAAAAATGTACTTCATACCACTTCTCTGTTGATTGTGTTTTTTTTAAGTTGCTCCCTTCCATTTCCTGATATATTATTCCATTTGGAATGTTGTCTGTCCCCTCTGTAGCGACTTCTCTGCCATTGTCTCAAATTCCATTATTGATTTTCCCATCTCTCATTCTGTTGCACTAATCCTCACTTTGTTAACTCTTTTCCTCTTCAAATATTTATAGAAACTCTTATTATCTGTTTTTATGCTGAGCTAACTTTCTCTCACACTTTAACTTTTTTCCTCTTTATTGATTTTATGGTCATTCTTTGCTGTTGAACTTAATCTTATTTTGCAGCTCTTGGTCTGTTACCTTGTAGGTTTTGGCCCTTCGAGTGCATATCTAAATACTTTATTTAAATGTGAGGAAGGCTTTTGACCCCTACCATCCTCTCAGGCTGAGAGTTCCAGACCTCTACCAATTTCAGGGTGGCACGGTGGCTCACAGTGCCAGGGACCCAGGTTCAATTGCAGCCTTGGGTGACTCTCTGTGTGGAGTTTACACATTCTCCCATGTCTGCGCGGGTTTCCTCCCACAATCCAAAGAAATGCAGGTTAGGTGAATTGGCCATGCTAAATTGCCCAGTGTCCAGAGATGTGCAGGCTAGGTGTATTAGCCATGGGAAATGCAGGGATGGGGTGGTATTAGGTGGAATGCTCTTCGGAGAGTTGGTGTGGACTTAATGGACCAATTGGCCTGCTTTCTATAGGGATTCTATGAACTTCTGGGAGGAAAATACTTCTTCTTAATTCCCCAAGAGTCCAGGTTTTTTTCTTTATTTACTGCTTCTAGTTAAATGAAATCTCAAACAAGCTAAAGAGGAACATGGAAGTAGGGGATGGAGGGGGAGGGAAGAAGAGTGGGAAGAGCCAGTTAATGTGCTCCATGTTGGGACCAAAGCTGGGAAAGAAAGGAAGGAGGTCCTGTTCAGGGAACACCAGAAGTCAGGAACTAAGTTCAACAATAAGGCCTTACAATTAGGAACCAAACCATGTGCTAATTGACAAAGAAATAGGCAAATCAAGAAGGTGAATGCTTGGCTGAAAGACTGGTGTGTGAGAACAAAAGGATTCAATTTCATGAGTCAAGAGCTCTAGTAATGGGGCAGGGAGAATCTGTACTGCTCTGCAAGGCTGCAACTGAACTAGATGAGAGCAGTGTCTTCGTGAGAAAGAACTTTAAAACATTAGAAAGGGTAGAAATATGGTAAATGTGACAGAAAATAACAGAAATAGCTGATGACAACAAAGGATAAACCAAGGAAAGCAACAAAACAAAATTGACTTGACTGGTCAATGGGTGAAAATAAAAGGGACTATTGAAGACAACTTAAACTGCCTGTAAACAGTGTGAAAATCGAATTGAGGAGCTCAAGACAAGGAGTAAGGAAATAGACATAGTAGGAATAACTAAGGTTTTTGATAATTATTGCAGGTTTTCGTCAGAAAGGGTAGAGAAGGTAGGGGGGAGTATGTGGTTTATCTGCCAAAAATAATGTAAATAGGAATAAAAAAGCAAACTAACAGATGATTAAAACAGGAAACAGAACTGAATGAAGAGATAAGGGATCAATCATACTAATAGGGATACACTGCAAACCACCTAATGATGAAAAAGAGTTTTAGGGAGAAATAGGTGTGCTAATGTCACAGAATATAGAACAACCATAGCAAATTTTAACTACCCCAAACTAAACTGGCAAGATGATTTGACAAAAAGCAACAAGGAATAACGTCATCAAAAATGTGAGAGGGACTCCTTTTCGTCTACAATGTAAGCACTGTGAGTCCTCATTTAGAGCCATCGCATTTAAAGTTGGTTCACTTTAACAATGTCCTGTTAGCAAGATCTCATCAAGCGTAGCCAGATTCACTTTAATGTAATGTACCTAACCTGATTAGCGACGTTTTGGCAGGGCCACTCTCGCTTACCATGCCCAGACCTCCTTACCCTTTCAACCATCCGACTTGCAGCATCTCCAGGTGCTTGACTTTCCAATGTAGCCTTTCTCCGTGTTCGACATTCCAAGAGTGGAACCAAGGCACCACTGCCCAAGTTCTGCATGCAGCAAAGTCGTATAAATAATGATAACATTGTCTGTTTTTGGGAGTTTTCTTTAAAGGAGGAAACCAGGAGAACTCCCTGCTCTTCCTAAAGTAGGTCAACTGATTTTTTTTGTCTTACTTGAACTACAATCATAATTAAAAATTTAATGTTTCACTCATAGGACAGGATTTCTGACAATGAAGCTCTCTCTATATTGCACTGAGATGCTGGTCTAGGTTATGTATCACACTGTGCAGTGGGTTACAAGAGACTCCCATTGTTTTCACTTGCAAGGCATTGCAAGGCACTGTCTGCAGCATGGAAAAACCAATGGGTCAAACCATTGCCATCCTATTCCCATCTTGGTGATTGTACCTGCAAGGGAAGGTTATTTGCCATGGCAAAAGCTGGCATCGGTGGAAGCCCACTGTAACTGTTTGCGAGAGAGGTCTCATTTCTGCCCAGCATTGGTCCTGAAGAGAGAAAAGGAAACACAACAATGTCACAATATCTCCCTTCTTAAACTGAATTGAGCTTGTTTCAGCCTGGACAGGAATTTTTTTTTAATGTATTCATTCAGGGTGTCGTTATTACCCATCCCTAATTGCCCAGGGGGCAGTTAAGCGTCAACCACATTACTGTGGGTCTGGAGTCACATGTAGGCCAGACCAGGAAAGGATAGCAATTTCCTTCCCTAAAGGACATTAGTGAACCAGATAGGGTTTTTCCCCTGACATTTGATTCATGGTCATCATTAGACTTTTAATTCCAGATTTTTATTGAATTCCAATTCCACCATTTGCCACAGTGGGATTCAAACCTGGGCCCCAGAACATACTTGAGTCTCTGGATTAACAGCCCAGCGATAATGCCACTAGTCCAACATCTCCCCTTGTGGCACAAGTGGCACCACCAATCCCAGACTACAGAGGGAAAGAGTCACCTTGGATTCCTGTGCCCAACTGCCATGCAGTGGCAACTGCTAGAAAGTGCACACATTTGTGTGCTGGGCATAGACAAGGTACCAGTTGACTGTGATGTCCCATCCCCAACCCCCACCCCACCCCCAATAAAAGTCAAACACACTATAGGCCAACACTGCTTATGCTTCCATATTTGGTCATGGTTGCCAAGGGCACCCACAGCGTGCAAACCCACCAGGTGAAGAACATTTTGATAACCTTTTCCCAGTTTAATCCATCTTTGCCTAGAGGTTTAGGGCAACATTTCCTGAAACCATTTTTCCACAATTATAGGCAATTATGGGAAGATGATGGTTTAGTAATCTGGAGGTCCAGCCTGATGGTCTGTTGATGTGGTTTCAAATCCCACAAGGACAGTTGATGGAAGTTAAACTCAATTTATAAACCTGGAACAGAAAGCTGGTCTCAATAATGAAACTATTACTGATTACTGTAAACACCCATCTGGTTCATTAGTGTTCTATAGGGAAAGAAATCTGCCATCCTTACCTGGTCTGGCCTACAATTAACTCCAGATCTATGCAATGTGCCTGACAAATGACTCAGCTCAAGGTCAACTAAGACTGGACAACAAACGATGCCCTTGTAGCAGAGCCAGATCCCATTGAAGATAAAAGTGAAATTGACATGGTCCTACTGGACTATGGGGCTGTTCTCTCATTAGAGAGAGATGCTGGTGGTGGTTTAACCTGAGGTCACCATACCTGAGGCAAGGGGTAATGGCTTTGGGGGTTAAAGAGGCAGTAGCCCAGAGGAAACAAAAATGCTAGGGTCAGCAGTACATAGTACATGAGTGGGGCAGCCAACAACAGATTACAAACTTGTAGCTACAACCTTATGTGGATCTGAAGCCAAGCAGGAGACAATAGCACTTTGGAGACTGAAAGAAACCGCCATCCCCAACCTCAAAATATCCCAAAGCACTTTTACAGTCAGTCAAATAACTTTTGAAGTGCAGTCAGTGTTCCAATGTAGGAAATATGGCAACCAATTTGTGAACGATACGATCCCATAAACAAGGAGCAAATCAGCTGCCTTTAGTGATCTTGATGGGTAAATATTGGCCAGGCCATTGGGGAGAACACCCCTTGCTCCTTCTCAAAAGAGTACCTTGGAATCTACTACATCCACCTGAGAGGGCAGACAAGAGGGTTTCAGTTTAAGATCTCATTTAAAGAGAAGGCAAAAATAGCAGAGGTGTCAAAAAAAGGAGGGGGTCGGTTAAAATGTAGACTTTCAGCATCACAGGGATGCATTCAGTATGAACTAATATAGTGACTAGTTGCGCTATAATAACCTGAGGTAGCAGGCTGTGGAATTGACTGATAAAGTGTAGGTGAGAAGCTGCTGTTGATGGGGACATGACTTGGACCACTACACGCCTGCCTCCTCTGATTGCGGAGTTTCTCTTCCCTCCTCCACTTGGCACGTCGATTTGAAAACCATACCTTGAGGTGAGAAAGACAGTAATAAAAGCAAATGAGCTGCAATGTTAAATTAATAAGTATCAAAGGTTTTAAAGGATAGTGATAATGCAAAATGCCACAGCATTCAAATGCAAAAGTCATTTAAGAAATGATATGTTTCAACAGCAGGGAAGTGGACACAATTGTCTTCTCAATAAAGGAAGACTGCACAGGACAGTCCAGCAAATCAGTCAATACAAAAACAAGAAAGAATTGCATTTATACTGAGGGCATCACAAAACACTTTGCAGGAAATGAAGTATTATTCACATACAGTCACTCTTGTCATACACAGTATGTTATAGACTCATAGAGATCTACAGCATGAAAACAGGCCCTTTGCTCCAACTCATTCATGCAGACCAAACACCCTAACTTAGTTTTGGAGTAGATCTGTACCTCGGGTTGTGGGTGTTGAGGTTGGTTGGCTCGCCGAGCTGGTTTGTTGTTCCGCAGACGTTTCGTTACCGTGCTAGGCTCTGAGGTGGTGACAGTACCAACGCACCAGGAGAACACTTGGCCTAAAGCTATCTCTAGACCAGCTTTATTCAAAACAGATGATCTGATCATTAACTCATTGCTGTTTGTGGAAGCTTGCTGTGCACAAATTGCCTTCCACATAGAGAGATATGGGCCAAAAGCTGGCAAATGGGATTAGACTTTATTGAGAGGACAATTGTTTAAATACCAGGAAAACAGAACAGCGCTTCAGTGGAGGCTGCACTGATGTTACCAGCAGGGTAATGAAATGTCTGCAAACTAATGGACCAGCTTGGCGAGCCAACCAACCACAACATCCACAACCCCAGCTACAAATCTACTCAAGAACCTTATATTCCAATAAACCAAGGTTGGCAAACAATCAAGGCAGAATTCAATGGGGCTTGAGGAGCCAGCTCTAGATTGTTTAGCATCAGCTCTATTATAGCTAGTGATCTTGCAATAAGAGTCCCTGGGAAGAAACGTTAAGTAAAAATAACAGATCCTCAATTTCCTCGTGATCTTAGATGTTCCCAGAGCTCCAGTCAAAGGCCATTGGAATTCTGGGGCCAGCATGCAGGTGCTGCATGAACCATTCTGGCAGATTCTGGCTATCAGTTCACTGACGTTAAGTAACAGGTATGTTAAACTCAACTCCCTACAACAGGATTCCCCATTCCTAGAGCATCAAGACCCCCAATGCACAAATGCTATACATACACTTGGGGCAATATTTAGGTCCTGCAGAACAAGCAGAAAGGCTCACTAACATAAGTGCCAATCATGCGCTTAACTAGCTTTCCACGGGATCAAAGACCCTGAGGGTTGGGAGGGTGAGGGATGGGGGTCTCACCTGCCAACAGTTGCCAGTCAATCAAACACCAGCAGCTCAAATGAGTGGCACGATCACTGGAGAGGCAGTGGTTGTTGCCAATATGCACCCACCCAAGGCTGAAGATTGCCAATGGGACCCAGACACTGGTGAGTGAGAGCTAAAGGGGGAATTGCAGGATGGGAGTCACAGGGCATGGGTAGAAAGGCATCGGCAGCAAGGGCAGGTTCTCAGCAGACATCCCCTTCTCGATGCCAGGTCCCTCAATCAAGCCCGTTCAGAGTTTCTTATTGTGTTCCCCCAAATAGCGAATGCCCCTGCCCGTCTCTGAGTTAATTCAAGCAGTGATAGGATGATGCCCTTACATGGGTATTAATTGCTCACTCCAGGGCTTCACCGATGGTGGTCAGGGTGGCTACTCATGGGCCTTCCTGCTACGGACCTCATCACAATGGAGATGGGAAGGTGCCACCTTCTGACTCAATTAAAATACTCCCCTCCACCTAATTCACTGTGGGGGAAGGGAATTAAATACCTCCACCTTTTATGCCAGCCAGCCCTGGTAACAGTGAGGACCATGTACAGGGTTAATTCAGAAGTCAAACCAGTAGCAAAGCAACCAAAAAAGAAAACTGTGTTATGACATACTTAGGACTGAAACCATTATATATTCAGCTACAGACGTTTAGAATTAGAACTGCACGAGCTGTTAATCGTTAAATAGTTTTATTCGCTTTTCTCTTCCTATGCAAATCCCTCTGCTCATATATATACATATGGTAACCTCAAGCAGGCAAAATGCACAGTGCAATTTTTAAACCATACAGGTGTTAGGGCAGATTGGTGTCTGGAGGATTGAAGAAACCCTCTTTACTTGAGGCTACTTGATTGCCCCTCCTGTTACAAAGCCTGGAAGCCTCTTGTAGCTGCACCCTGCCAATTATCTAAACCCAGTCATCACTATATACTTTGCATACCAAGGGAACCTCATTGTGTTGCACTTTACATTATAGACAGCTTGTGTTTTTGCATTATCCACATTTCAAACTGACACAGGTAGATCACATCTCCAGTTACCTGTATTCTAGCTTCAGGGAGGTCAATTTTAGCTGCTAGTCTTTCTCTGGCAAAGACATCTGGATAGTGTGTACGTTCAAATTCTTTTGAAGAAAAATACAAAAAGTTCAACATTTTAAAATATTCATGTTTGTTGTCTTAAGACAAGTGAATGTGTAAAGTTGAATCAAACCAGAGAAACACATCCTTCTATAGCCCAGCTCTCTTACCATACCATCCAGATATGGGCCAGGAGCAACAACATTGACAGATGCAAAGTAGACCATAGCCTATTTACCAAAGTATTACTGATGCTGGGAAATCTGAAATGAAAACAGAAAATGCTGGAAATTCTCAGTAGGTCAGGCTGCATATGTGGAGAGAGAAAGCAGAGTTAACTCTTCAAGTCAATGGCCTTTCACCATATCCCCGAGCTCAGTGTCTCAGTTTAAAAATGAGAGGTCACCCGTTAAACATGGAGGAGATGAGAATATTTTTCCTCACAGAGAATTGAGAGTCTTTGGAATTCTCCGCTTCAAAAGGCATTGGAAGCAGAGTCTTGGAAGCATTGGAATCTTTTAAAGGCATGGGTCAATGGATTCTTAATAAGCAAGCAAATGAAAGTATATTAGGGGTAGGCGAGAATGTAGAATCATAGAATCCTTACAGTACAAATAAATGCCATTCCACCAATCGAGTCTGCACCGATCCTCCAAAACGCATCCCACCGGTAATTGCACATTTACCACAGTTAACCCACCTAGCCTGCAATACAATGGAGCAATTTAGCATGGCCAATCCACCTAACCTGTACATCTTTGGACTGTGGGAGGCAACCCACGCATAAACAGAGAAAACGTGCAAACTCCACACAGACAGTCACCCGAGGGTGGGATCAAACCCAGGTCCCTGGCACTGTCAGGTAGCAGTGCTAACCACTGAGCCACCATGCCACCACAGATGGAATACAATGTGGGAAGGTGTGAGGTTATACGCTTTGGTAGGAAGAGCAGAGACATATGTGGAGCAATCAGATCAAACTTGATCTTATTGAATGGTGAGGCAGGTTTGAAGGGCTAAGTAGCCTATTCGTGCTCCAAATTCATACATTCATTTACTAATCAAAAGGGGAGGTGATGGCCTAGTGGTATTATCTCTGGACTGTTAATTCAGAGACCCAGGTAATGTTCTGGGGACCCAGGTTCAAATCCTGACATGGCAGATGGTGGAATTTGAATTCAATAAATATCTAGAATTGAGAGTCTAACGATGACCATGAATCCATTGTTGATTGTTGAGGGAAAAACCCATCTGGTTCACTAATGTCCTTTAGGAAAGGAAACTGCCATCTTTACCTGGTCTGGCCTATATGTAACTCCAGACCCACAGCAACATGGTTGACTCTTAACTGCGGGATGGGCAATAAATGCTGCCTAGCCAGTGATGCCAACATCCTACAAATATTTTTTTTTTTTAAAAATTGCTTTATTTGAAGTTGATTGAGGGATAAATATTGCCCAGGATACCAGGAATAACTCTCCTGCTCTTGTTCAGAACAGTGGCATTGAACCTTCTACATCCACCACAAAAGGCATCTTGTTTTAATGTCTCATCAGGGAAATGGCACCTCTGCTGGTGCAGCACACCCTCAGTCCTGTGGTGGTGTATCAATTTCCATTGTGTGCTCAGACCCTGGAGGAGGTCTTAAGCCTAGAACCCTGTGACTCAGAGGCCTGAGCGCTATCAATTAAAAATCAGGTCATAATAAACATGTAAACTGAGGTAACCTCCCATCCCAGATTTCCCACAATCCTAATTTAGCTTCTCGTCCTGAATCCTGGGGCAGGTTTCTCTAAGTTTTGTCCTGGATTTCTTCCTCAAGTGCAGGCCTTGTTCCTCTGCACCCACCACACAGGGCAAATGTCTGGTTGTCCATGAGGTCAGGTCCCAGCTTGCAGCTTGGTAAAAGAGTGTGGTCGTTGCCTGTCCCCACCACTGCTGTCATGGACAAGCCTGACCTTCGCTGAGTCTCAAGCTCAATATGTGCAGGTTAAGTGGATTGGCCACACTAAATTGCCCTGTAGTTTCCACAGAAGTGCAGGCTAACCCTAACCCTAACCCTATCGGAGGTGGCTGCAGGGTTAGAGAGATGGGGGAGGGGGAAATGGGTCTGGGTGGGATGGTCTTCAAAGGATCGATGCAGATCCGATGGGACAAATGGCCTCTATCTGTGCTGTAGATGTTCTATGATTCTAGGATAACCCCCAGAATGTTGATAGTGAAGCATTAAGCAATAGTAATGCTATTGAATGCCAAGGAGAAAGATAGTTAGATTCCCTCTTCTTGGAGATGATCATTGTCCGGCACTTTCATGGCACGAATGTTATAAGTCCCTTGTTAGCTCAAGTCTGAATATTGTCCAGGTTTGGTTGCCTTTGGTGACTGACAGTTTCAGTACCTGAGGAGTCACAAATAGTACTGAACATTGTGCAGTCATCACATTCCAGGCCATCATAAATTTTTTTTGTTCTTTATTCGGTCACAGGAAGAGAGCATCGCTGGCTAGACAGCATTTATTGTCCATCCCTACTTGCCCCGGTTAAGAGTCAACCACATTGATGTGGGTCTGGAGTCACATGTAGGCCAGACCAGGCAGTTTCTTTCCCTAAAGGACATTAGTGAACCAGATGGGTATTTCCAACAATCAACAATGGACTTGTGGTCATCATTAAATTCTTAATTCCAGGTATTTTATTGAATTCAAATTCCACCATCTGCCATGGCGGGATTCGAACCTGGGTCCCAGAATGTTATCTGGGTTTCTGGATTAACAGTCCAGCAATAATACCACTAGGCAGCACATTCCAGGCCTTCATGACCTTCTTGGTAAACAGTCTTTCCTCATATCTACCCTTAACCTCCTGCCCCTCACTTTGAACCTGTGTCCCTTCATGACTGACCCTTCAACTAAGGGGGACAGCTGCTCTTTATCAACTCAGTCCATGCCCCTCATAATCTTGTACACGTCTCTCAGATCACCTCTCAGTCTTCTCTGCTCCAAGGAAGACAACCCAAGCCTGTCCAAGCTATCCTCTAAATTAAGTGTTCCATCACAGGCAGCATCCTGGTGAATCTCCTCTGTACCACCTCCAGTGCAATCACATTATTTCTGTAATGTGGCGATTAGAACTGCACACAGTACTCTGGCTGTGGTCTCACCAAAGTTCTATACAATTCCAGCATGCCTTCCCTGCTTTTGTAATCTATGCTTTGATTGATAAAGGCAAGTGTCCTATACATCTTTTTCACCACCCTACTAACATGCCCTTCTGCCTTCAGAGATCTATGGTCAAACACTCCAAGATCTCTTCATTCCACAGAACTTCCTAGGATCATGACATTCATTGAATACTTCCGCGTCAAATTACTCCTTCCAAGTTGTATCACTTCACACTTTTTTAGGATTAAGGTCCATCTGCCACTTATCTGCCCAATTAACCATCCCATTTATATCTTCTTGTAGCCCAAGAAACTCAACCTCACTGTTAACCGCCCGACCAATCTTTGTGTCATCCACAAACTTACTAATCTAACCCCCTACACAGTCATCTACGTTATTCATAAAAATGACGAGTAATAGGGCACCCAGCACAGACCTCTGTGTTACGCCACTAGAAAGTGGCTTCCAGTCACTGAAGCAGCCTTCTTTCATCACCCTTTGGTCTCATACAGCTGACCCAATTTTAAATCCACTTTAAGCATGGATTCAAGTCACAAACAGAATTTGAATACAATAATTAAATCTGAAATATAAAGTTAATCTCAGGAATGGTGGCCATCACAACTATCACCAATTGTTGTAAAAAAAAACCCATCTGGTTCACTAGTTCTCATTAGGGAAAGAAATCTGCCATCCTCACTTGATCTGGCCTATATGTGAATCCAGGCCCATGGCATTATGGCTGATTCTTAACTACCTTCTGAAATGGCTTTAGCAGGCCACCCTATTCAAGGGCAATTTAGGGATGGGTGACTAAGGTTGGCCTTGACAGTTGTGCCCATGTCCCATGAAAGAGTAAAAGAAATTCATCTGACACCTGAAATGCAAGACACCATTGCAGCAAGTTTGACCTAGCATCTAACAAATTTGCGTATTTCCAACATTTTCTGTTAAGCTGCTCTTTTCTGCTCTCTTGAAAAATTCAGATGTTATTGTGAGCTGAAAAAATGGCCATGCAACCATCAGAGGCAAACATGACACCTTAAAGAGCAATGGTGACACAAGGAGAAACGCTTTCGCACAGTGAATGGCTTTGGTCTGGAATGCACTGCCTGAGACTGTGGTCGAAGCAGGTTCAATCAAGGCTTTCTGGAAGGTATTGGATTATTATCAGCGAAAGAGGAATGTGCAGGGCTATGGAGAGAAGAGGGGCGAATGATGGCCATTGAATTGCTCATTCAGAGAGCCAGCACAGACAATGAAGGGCCAAAAGACCTCCTCTTGCACTGTAACCATTCCGTGATTCAGAGACTAATTGAGGGAAGTGGGGGTAGTAGTGAGAAGCAGGGCATATTGACCTTCCTGTGTCCCCAATATATACGTCATCTGGTAATTTTCACAGACTAAAGTGCTCAAGGAACATGACAAAGGAGTTGCAATTGGGAGAAAAAAGCCAGAGGAGGTGATAGTAGGTGGTACATTTCAAAATGAAATCCAATGCAGCAGTTACGTCTTTATTAGAGCAAGAAAGATGAGAGAGATGGGGAAAGAGAGCAGTTGAAGAACAGAGGAATAGATTAGACAGCCAGAACACAGACAGGTAAAGCCCACCTAGGAAAAAGCTAAGGGAAAATAGAAGGAAAGCAAGAACAAGATTTTAAAAAACAGACAAAGCAAACATCCATCATTATGACAAAAGCAAATTACTGCGATTGCTGGAAACCTGAAATAAGAACAAAAAGAGCTGGAAAAACATAGCAGATCAGGCAGTATCTGTAGAGAGAAACAGAGTTAATGTATCAGGTTGATGACCTGTTTGTATTCATCATTATGACTTTGAATAAATGTTTTTGCGTGAATTTTCCCAGACTCTCTGTCTCCATCCGGATTTCTGCTGTCCTTCCGCTAATATTGTGGGAAATGTGAAGAGGACTGGTGTATCTCCCAAGGAGGTACCCCGAGCTTCATTCATAGTTGGGCTGGTGGTACCTTTTTCCAAAGCCTCAATCTGATCTTGTGTGAACGACGTGCGGTTCCGTTGAAGCTTCCTCTTAAGTTGCAGGCGGATCTGGGATTCATCGGAATCATCTCCGTTCACATTAACCCCGCTGCCGTTTTCACCTCTGACCTCCAACTGCTGGCACCCTTCTGCTGGAGTGAAAAATGGGACATAAAGCCAGTTTCATTACCAACATGCAGACCTCACACAAAGAACCCTCAGGATCAGCAAAACAGCTCACTTCAATTCGCATATTATTTGGTAGGGGGCTGGTTAGATCAGTTGCTAGAGTGTGGTTTAAAATAATGCCAACAGCACCGGTTTGATTCCTGTCACGGTAAACATCGGACGCATCTCCTTGTCTAGGCAGAGTGATGCTTTTTTAGACTAAATTGCCAATTGTCTCTCTCATGGAGACAGCTGCCTCTGGTCCTTGTAAGAAATGGGTAATTAATTATCCGAGACAACAAGGTGCAGGGCTGGATGAACACAGCAGGCCAAGCAGCATCATAAGGAGCAGAAAGGCTGACGTTTCAGGCCTAGACCCTTCATCCAGCCCTGCACCTTGTTGTCTCGGATTCTCCAGCATCTGCAGTTTCTACTATCTCTGAATTAACTATCCATGTCCGATCAGCAAGCAAGCTTCCTGTAGCTTTGCTCACTGTGAATCAAGAATCATAATCAGACCAAAAAGAAAGTCTTGCATTTATATAGCACCACTCAGAATCTCAAAACATTATAACATGTTTTATCGCAAATGAAGTACACTTCACTGTTGCACCGTACTAACACAGTAGCAAATTTAAACACAGCAATGTACGGCAAACAACAGTGTCAAGATGACCAGGTAATAGGTTTCAAGATAAATATTTCCCAGGACATTGGATGGAATTCTCTTGCTCTTCCTCAAAACTTTGATATGGCTTCTTTTGATTCAACTTGAGAAAGCTAATGGGACCTTGGCTTAAGATTTCCTCCAAAAGCCAGCACCTTATGATGGAAAATCAGCCTAGATTTTTATGCTTCAAGGCTTTAGATCAGAGGTATATGAGCCACGAGAGGCAGAATATACCAGGTAGAGTCAGCATCTATATCAATTACATTCTGGTCTGCAAGACAGATGGCCTCATATGATGTGCCATTTAAGTTACCTGTACTCCCTTGCCCTGGTACCGAGCTTCCCTGGTACCAGCCTGGCCTCCCTCCCCAGCTCCCAGTCTGGACATTCAACATCCGTAACTTGTCGTACATCCCATCAGCTCCCATTGGATGTTCTTCAGTGGCCAGGGTGCACAAGGCTCCACTTGCAGACAGTACCTGAAAGAAAATAGGAGAGAAGACACTCGAGCACAAGTCTACTCAGTGTACTCTTTACACAACGGGCTAGAATCTAATCAACAGGTTCTATATATAGAATAATGGTTATCCAGGAGTGAATTAGAAGTCAGTACCTAATTAAAGAATTCAGATTTTTTAATATATAGTTTAATGTATATCTTGAGAGGTGTGTTACTGGCTGAGTTGTAAAGCAGGAGTTTAATGATTCACCTACAGAACAGCCAATACCCAGAGTGAATATGAGTGAAAGGTTCAGTTGTCGGGGCTACAGTCTCACTGAAGATTTTGTAAACTTTAAAACTGAAGCTCAAGTCATTTCGTCATTAAAAGGAAGCAACAGCTTTGAACTAATTTCACTATATGTAAACTGAAATGTAAGATCATTGGAAAAAGCTGAAGAGAAATGAGAGAGAAAAGTGCTTACGCAGCAAGCTGCTGTGATCTGGAGCACATTCCTTCAAAGGAAGCAGCTTCAATGGTAACTTTCAAAATGGAATTGGATCATAGAATTACAGAATGATACAACGCAGAAGAGGCCTTTCAGCCCAGCAAGTCTGCACTGACAAAAACTACTCTAAATTCACACTAGTCCCACTTTCCAGCACTTGGTCTACAGTCTTGAATGTTATGACATTTCAAGTGCATATTCAAGTACTTTTTCAAGGTTATGAGGTTTCCCGCCTCAAACACTCTCTGAGGCAATGCTTTCAGATCCCCACCACCCTCTGGGTGAAAAGAATTTTCCTCAAATCCCCTCTAAACCTCCTGCCCTTCACTTTAAAAATTATGTCTAAGTTTCTTTTATTGCAGGTGGTGGTTGCTGGCACTTATGTGATACGAATGTTAAATATCATTTCTCAGTTGAAACCTGGATGTTATTTAGGTCCGGTTTCATTTCAACATAGACACCTGTGGTATCTGAAGATGTGTACTTCATGCTGAACATTGTTCAATTGTCAGCAAAAAATCTCCACTTCTGACCTGGTCATGGAGGGGAGGTCAATGCTGAAGCTGTGATGACCTGTGGCTGAATTAATTGAACTCCCAATAACTACAGAGATAACAAGGTGTAGAGCCGGATGAACACAGCAGGCCAAGCAGCATCAGAGGAGCAGGAAGGCTGACATTTCAGGCCTAGACCCTTCTTCAAAAATGGGGGAGGGGAAGGGGGTTCTGAAATAAATAGGGAGAGAGGGGGAGGCGGATAGAAGATGGATAGAGGAGAAGATAGGTGGAGAGGAGACAGACAGGTCAAAGAGGCGGGGATGGAGCCAATAAAGGTGAGTGTAGGTGGGGAGGTAGGGCGGAGATAGGTCAGTCCAGGGAGGACTGACAGGTCAAGGGGGCGGGATGAGGTTAGTAGGTAGGAGATGGGGGTGGGGCTTGGGGTGGGAGGAGGGGATAGGTGGGAGGAAGGACAGGTTAGGGAGGCGGGGATGAGCTGTGCTGGTTTTGGGATGCGGCAGGGGGAGGGGAGATTTTGAAGCTTGTGAAGTCCCAATAACTACAGCTATGTTTACTTCTGCCAGTACCACTCCACCTAGTGGAGATTTTTACCTCTGATGCTCATTGACTCTAGTTTTGCTAGGGTTCTTTGAGGCTACACTCAGTCGAATGTTACTTTGATGTCAGAGGTGGTCGTCCTTACTTCCTTTCTTGAATTCAGGTATTGTCCATGTTTTGACCAAGTGTTGGGGTAAGGAACTGAGTGGGCCTGACACAACCCACATGAGACATCAGTGAGCAATCATTGTTGTGCAAGTGCTGCTTAATAGAACTGTCAACGACACCTTCCATTACTGATCGTTAACAGTAAACAGAAGGAGCGGATTTCTCCTGCTTTTTATGTATAGGATATACCTGGGCAATTGTCCACACTGCTGGGTAGATGCCAGTGTTGTAATTGTACAGGAACAGCTTGGCTAGAGACAAGGCTAGTTCTGGGGCACAAGTCTTCGGTACTATTGCCGAATGTTGTCAGGCCCATAGTATTTGCAGTCTCCAGTATTTTCAGACATTTCACAACAATACGTAAAGTGAATCAAATTGGTCGATATCTGCTATTTGTGATACTGGGGATTTCAGGAGGAGGCCAAGATGGGTCATCTACTCATCACTTCTAGCTGAATATATATCCAAATGCTTCAGCCTTTCTTTTGCACTGATTTGCTGGGTTCCTCCACATTTGAAGATGGAGATATTTGAGGTGCCTCCTTCCCCAGCGAGGCTAGAATGTGTGAGGACGGCAGATTTTTCTTCTCTAAAGGGCAATGGGGAGGCAATGTCTACTGGAATTATCGCTCGTTTATTAATCCAGAAACTCAGTTAATGTTCTGTGAACTTGGGTTCAAATCCCACCACAGCAGATGGTGGAATTTGAATTGAATAAAGAATCTACAATTAAGAATCTAATGATGATCATGAAACCGTTGTTGGAAAAATCCATCTGGTTCACTACTATCCTTCAGGGAAAGCAATCTGCCATCCTTACCCAATCTGGTCTACATATAACTCCAAACCCACAACAATATTGTTGACTGTTAACTGCCCGCTGGGTAATAAATGCTAGCCTAGCCAGAGATGCCTACATCCCATGAAGGAATAAATAGTGAATTAGATGGGACTACAACAGTTTCATCATCAGATGATTATTTTTAATTCCAGACTTTCATTTATTGAATTCATCCGTATATTTGCAATGTTGGGATTTGAACTCATAACCCCAGAGCATTACTTTGGAGCTCTAGTCCACTGTGCCACGACCTCTCACTCACGTGTTTTCTACACAATGTTTGCTATTACAGTATACAGTCAGCTATACTTTTGGTTACAAAGAATACATTGTTCCCTGGCCCTTTGATCAATGACAGGACTTAAAGGATTGAATGATACATGGTTAAGGTCAAAGTCAGTATTCCCTCCATCAACTGGCATTTTTGATTTAACCACACCACCCCTCCCCAATGTGTGTCAAATAACACAAAGTTTATTGTATTTTTGTCTGCATTTTGTTTGCCTTTTATCTTTCTAGAGTCTTAATGAGCCATGTCATATTTCCAATGGCTGTATTGTGCCAAAATTAAAACCCATCACATATTGTTTCCCTTACTTTTATACAATTTAAGATTATCACCATCTAATCACTCCTCCGAATTCTTCCAACATTTTTCTGTCTCTTTCCAGCATTGGTGAAGTCCTGTACCAGGGTCCATGGCCCCTTTGCTCAATGATTATGCAACATTTTAAAATTTTCGGCTGGATGTGGAACCGGTTGACTTAGCTATATTCTGTTAAAGCTGCCACTCCTGCCATGTACACTTCCAATGACAATCTGCCCCTGGCAAGTTTAACAAGTCATAATCAGCATTTAGTTATCAGGAAGATGTCGCATTTAAATGGCACATTTCCCAAAGTGCTTTTGAGCCAATGACGTACTTTTTGAGTGTAGTCAGTCACATTATTAAAAGGTGGGCATCAATTGTGCGCAAAGGAAGTTCCTTCAAGCACCAATGTGATAATTAACATATTGGCTAAGGCTCAAAGGATAACGCCTCTGCTCTTCATACATTATTATGTAGAATATACAGCACAGGACAGGCCATTCAGTCCAACTAGTCCATGCCATTATTTATGCTTCACTTGCACTTCCTCCAAATTCTCTATTGAATCCCTTCTCCCTCACTAATTTATCATCTTTTTTCACAGCATGCGGGTGTGATTAGCTAGGCCAGTTTTATTGACTATTTCTAATGCCTTTGAGAAGATGGTGGTGAGCTGCATTCTCGAACTGCTGTAGTCTGTGGGTGTAGATACATACACAGTGCTGTTAGGGAGCAATATTCAGGTTCTTTGCTCAAGTGGCTGTTCCTAAGGAAGCACACCAAGACAAACAATTTTTTTAAAAATTAATTCATGGGGTGTGTACGTGACTGGCTGGGGCAGCATTTACTGCCTGTCCCTAGCTGCTCTTGAGAAGGTGGTGGTGAGCTGCCTTCTTGAACCGCTGCAAAGCATTTGTTGTAGATACAACCAGAAGGCTGTTAGGAAGGGAATTCTAGGATTTTGACCCAGTTTCAGCGAAGAAATGGTAATATATTTCCGAGTCAGGATGGTGTATGGCTTGGAGAAGTTCTGGCAAGTGGTGGTGTTCACTCTAGCGAAGAGTCATCTGGACTCGAAACATTAGCTCGCTCTCTCTCCATGGATGCTGCCTGACCCGCTGTGATCTCCAGCACTTTTTGCTTTCAGTACAGATTCCAGCATCTGCAGTAATTTGCTCCTACATGGTGTTCACTTGCATCTGCTGCCCTTGTATTTCTAGATTGAAGGGATGGGATTTGGATGGCTTAAGTTCCTAAGGGGTTGCTACCAGGAAGGGAGAGAAGAGGGAGATATCAAACCAAACACTGATAATGCACAAAAGTATGCTATTTACCTCAGTCATGAGATCAGTGAGAATATTTACAAGCAGAAGATTAGACGATGCAGCAGCCTCAGTGATATAAACCTCAGCAGACAACCATAAGGAGGAGTACTGCTCTCAGCCAACTTTGGATTCTTCTTTGTGAGATTACATGAATGAGTGGTTGCTGGGGCCTTTAAAACTGGAGACAGATAAACATTTAACATTAGCTTTGTTAATTATTCCTTCAAATTATTATTTTTAAGTCAACAACTATAGATCATTTTTAAACTGTTGTCATCTGGCCCTCTTCTGTTCAATCGGTGATGTAAACATATCAGCAGATTTTAAATATCTTACTTAAGAAGCTAATTTTTATGTGCAAATCAAGAATGAATGAAAGGCTATTTGACTGAAATATCGACTTCTCTCAGGTTCCCACTGCAGGTCACTAAACGGTGACCCTTGCTCATCGACAACAGGGTGTTGTGCTCCTCTTACATCCACAACTAGCCCTCAAACCCCTGCCCTCCTTCACACCTCAGTGTGAGTCAGTTTATTCATCATAGGGAATGAACAAAAATTTGGAGGGTGCTGTGAAACTCGTATTCAGAGGCAACGTATGTTCTGGGAATTATGGTGATCAACACACAATATGTAGCTTGGATGGTGTGAGAAAAGCCTTTCCTGTCGGATCCTTCCTACATACCTGGAGTCTTAGTCTCTCTGCACTTTGCCCTCAAAGTAGTTGCAATGGCAAAATAATCATGGTCCACCTCTTTCTAGTTTAGGCCATTGCAAAAAAAGGTCCAGAAAGACACACAGTGGGTTTTGTGGAGATTCATCCTGACCGGTGCCGTGATGCAAGGCTCTGTGGTCTACAACCTCTTCCCAGGGATTCACATGAAGACAAATATCAATTATATTTGATTCATTCATGGGATGTGGCCTATGTTGGCTGGGCCAGCATTTATCGCTCATCCCTAATTATCTTTGAGAATGTGATGGTTAGCTGCCACCTGGAAATGCTATAGAGTTTTTGATGTAGGTACACCCACAGTCCTGTTAAGGAGGGAGTGCCAGGATTTTGCCCCAGCAACATTGAAGGAACTGCCTCATATTTCCAAGTCAGGATGGTGAGTAACTTGGAGGGAAACTAGCAGGTGGCAGTGTTCCCTTGTATCTGTTGCTTCCTTCTCGATGGAAGAGGTCATGGGTTTGGAGGTTGCTGTCTAAGAAGCCTTGGAAAATTTCTGCAGTGCATCTTGTAAATGGTATATACACTGTAGCTACTGAGTGTCGGTGGTGGAGGGAGTGGATATTTGTGATGTGGTACCAATCAAGCAGGCTGTTTTGTCCTGGATGGTGACAATTTTTTTGTTACTCTCCTGGCATGTGCCTGGTAGATGGTGGACAGACTTTGTGGAATCAGGAAGTGAGTCACTTGCTGCAGAAATCATAGCGTCATATAGCACTGAAACAGACCCTTCGGCCCAACTCGTCTATGCCGACCAACTTTCCCAAACTGAACTAGTCCCATTTACCTTTGTTTGGCCCATATCACTCTAAACCTTCCCTACCAATGTATCTGTCCAAATGTCTTTTAAATGTTGTAATCATATTTGTACCTATCACTTCCTCTAGCAGCTCGTTCCATGTACACACCACCCTATGTATGAAAAGGTTGCCCCTCAGGTCCCTTTTAAATCCTTTCCCTCTCATCCTAAACCTATGCCCTGTAGTTTTGGACTACCCTACCTTGGGAAAACGGCCTTGGCTATTCACCCTATCTATGCCCCTCATGATTGTATAAGGACTCTGTAAGGTCACCCTTTTGATCCCTTTTGGCTTAAAGAACCTCATTTAGCTATCTGATCTAAATTTACACTCACATTACACACTGCTTCCCTGCTTAATGTTAAAATGATGTATTTAGGGCTGGGTGACACCTATTCTGCCTTGGGTGATGACGAGCAGCACTGTGGGAGTATGTTACGTCTGGATTGAACATTATTCTGATTTGTAAATGGAAATTCTTCTCTGCAGCTGCCGCAGATGAATAGCATTTGCCTGAGGTTGACTATGTTTTTTTCCTTCCAGGGGCAGTCCTTCCACCATCCACCCACTTCATTAATCCTCACTGTCTTCTTACTCTTCCTGACTGTTTCTCTCCAGGCGCTTATCGTCAGCAGCAAGGACTTCCTACCCATTGGCTCCAATCTTGGTCAACTTGAGGTCTTGTCTGTATGTGCCCTTGTATCGCAGACCCAGGTGACCTGTTGGTCCTGCGTCAATTGCAAACTCCTCATGGGGTAGGTCACTCGGTGGAGGTCATCGTCCATTGGGATCACATCACCCAGCCAATAGAGATGATGCTGACACAAGGGGTCCAACATATTGGGTGCAGTCCCTGCACACTGGAATACACCATATTCAGCAATCTGTCCTGTCAGGAGATAATCAATATTCACCTCATGACTTAGCTTCAATTTAGCATTTAGGACTGGTTAAGGTAAGTTCTCCACAAACCCAAAGGCTTCTATCTCATTATGTTCAGGAATTGAACCCACAATGTTGGTATCACTTTGCATTTCAAACAAGCTATCTAGCCAACTGAGTTAAGCCTGGTCTTAACATATCTAATACATGGGGCCGCATTCAACCTATTGCCTTGAATCAGATAAATAAATCCCCTCTTTTTAACTTTAGCTCCAGCATCTCATTGCAACAAAAGAAAACCAAAGAATTTCAGATGCTGGAAATCAGAACCTCATTGCAACATACGGCTTCAGGCCAAGATGGCCTATTGAAAACAGGTAAACTTGTCTGTTCTAGTGATTCACAGGACTATTAAAGATTCCCAAGGGTACTTTTCTCTGGCCAATTCTCATTTTTAAAAATACGGAGAAACCACTCATTCATCTCATCTGCTGTGGAATTTAAGATTGCACAAAATGGTTGCTGCGTTTGATTATGTAACAGCTGAGTCTGGAGTTCAAAGCTGGTCCCTTTGAGGTCAGGAACGTTTCAGAGTAGTCCCAACCTGATTCTTTCTTTCTCTGATGTAAAACTAACCTTGGAGTTCTCCACTGTGTCAGAACAGTTGACTTCCTTCATTTGTATGGCATGTTCTGGAGGTTTGCCTATGAATCCATTATTTGCCAAAATATACTTGGCTCTTTGTTCTTGCAAAAATACTGGAAAACAAATTCCCTCATTGGCTCAGGTCAGCATGGTATGGAACAGCACCAGCGGGTTGAAATTTGCTGGGTGCAACTTTCCTGAATTTAGACCATGTGGGGACATCTGGGTGGAGAACCAATGGGATTTCCTGTCTTAGCAATTCCTGGCTGGAGGTCTGTGCATCCAGAGCCCAGCTGAGCTGATTTAGCCAGCCCTTTGCTTATATGTGGACTGCCAAAATTCACAGATTCATCCTTGTCAGAAAAGAAGGGGGTTAGATATGGAAGGCAGCCTTAGAACTGTATCCAAACAAGAACCAGAACCAGGAGAGTAGCAGGAGACAGACCTGCAATCGACTATATGTTGATTATCTTTGTAAGAGTTAAAAAGGGATTTCAATGCTCTTAGCAAAACCATAAGAGGCAGAATTATCTAGGTGAGCCTTGTACACCAACAGGGCTGATATTAGCAGAACCCACTCGAAAGGCCTTGGGAATCCTAAAGGATTAATTGATTAGCAACAGAAGAGGAATGAGCAAAAACAGGTATGAGTTGAAGGTTAAAGCAAACAATACCAGGGATGGAACCAGACAAGGTGAAGATAACACAGTGTGGAGCTGGAGGAACACAGCAGGCCAGGCAGCATCAGAGGAGCAGGAAAGTTGATGTTTCGGGTTGGGACCACTCTGCTTGGGTTAGTAGAGATGTGTACCTTTGAACTGGAGATATCTGCTTATAATGTGACCATATACTAACAAAATTGGAATTGGAATTGTGTACATGACTAACTGTTCATGAAAAGATGGTATTTCTGTAATCATCAGAGTTTTGCTTTAGCTAGTCTAAGACAGACTCTCCCTGCATTCACTTGAAAAGACAATTGCTAACCTGTACCTGAGTCTCCTGTGCTCGATCCTTTGAAACAACTATAACATCTCAATTTGCGTGTATGTACAACAATCAATCATAAGGCAAATGCTTGTTGCTCAATATTACAGGAGGATTTGGAACCAAGAGTAAGGAAATCCTAGCCTCTGACCAGCTCTTGCAGCCACAGTATTTATGTCATGAAACCAGTTCAGTTTCTGGTAAATGGGGAGGTGATGACCTAGTGGTATCATTTCTGGACTGTTAATCCAGAGACCCAGGTAATGTTCTGGGGATGGGGTTCGAATCCTGCCACAGCAGCTGGTGGAATTTGAATTCAATAAAAATCTGGAATTAAGAGTCTAATGATGACCATGAATCCATTGCTGGTTATCAGGAAAAACCTATCTGGTCACTAATGTCCTTTAAGGAAGGAAACTGCCATGCTTACCTGGTCTGGCCGATATGCAACTCCAGACCCACAGCAATGTGGTTGACTCATAACTGCCATCTGGGCAATTAGGGATGGGCAATAAATGCTGCCTAGCCAGCAACACCCTCATCCCATGAATGAATAAAGAAAAATAAGGTAATCCCCATGATGTTGATATGATGGGAGATTCAGTGGTGATGATGCTATTGAATGTCAAAGGGGGATAGTTTAATTCTTTCTGTTGGAGATGGTCACTGTCTGGCACTTAGGTAGTGTGAATGTTATTTGTCACTTGTCAACATAAACCAGGATATTGTCCAGTTCTTGCTACATTTACACAAAGACTGCTTCAGTATCTGAGGAGACATGAATGTTGCTGAATATTGTACAATCATCAGCAAACATTCACATATCTGACCTTATAATGGAGGGAAAGTCGTTGAAGCAAATGAGATGGCAAGGGCTCAGACATTACCCTGAAGAATCCTGAAAAGATGTACTAGAGCTGAGGTGACTGATATCTAACAGCAACCATCTTCCTTCACACTGGCTATGTCTCTAACCATTGGGAGAGTTTTTCCCCTGATTCCCATTGAATCCAGCTGTACCAGGGCGCATCAATACCACACTCAGTCAAAGGCTTT